GATAATTGGGAGAGAAGAAATAATTGAGCCTGGCTGAGGAATGCGGCCTGTAGCAGTGTTTAGTGCAATTTTAGCGGACGGCAATATAAGTCCACCTTAGCTGCTCTAAACGAGTTAGCTTCTGGAGCTTCGCCAAACACCTCCATTTAGCGTTTCCCACTCAGAACCCCGCTCACCCAACAGACACCAGCCAGCGCGTCCCTACACGAGGAGGCGCTATCTGCTATCGACCCAGAGAACAACCTGCTCGAAATAGCGGCCGGCGGCGGCTATTTGAGGACACGGCACTACAAAGCGCCGGCAGTCGGCGTGACAGCAGCATATTCGATGGCCGGGTATTGAGCTGCGGCGGCCGCGCCGGCCGGACGGCTTATAAACGGAACGGTACCATCGCACCACTCAGCGGGAAACAGTGGGTGGTTACATAACAAAACCCTCGCCAGGGCGCTATTTCTATACATGGAATCGATGAGTGCAGACATGTGTCAGCGCGTTTTGCCCTGACCCAGGGAAAGATATACAATAATTCCAATCAGACCACTTTAATTTACACAGAAACTGAATCAGATAGGCTCTAAATAGGAATAAACAAGACCTCTTATGCATCAGAATAATTTCATCTGATTATTTATCTGAAAATAGATCTGTTTCCATAACATCAGTAATATTACATAACATAGCAGCAGGCAATCCGTTTGCTGACCCACCGATCCATAAAACACAATCACGGCAAGGATTGGAGAGTGCTTCTACCAGTCTGACGTCAACAAAAGAGCACGGCCGGCTGAGGTCCGCGCTTATCGCCCGTTTTACAGCACGAGTTTTCGATAAATCAATGCCTTGGTTGCGGCGCGATTCAAGGTAAAGGTCACAAGAACACTGACCGAGCTGGCTAATGTTGGTAGCAACGTACGGTAGTGCACCATCCAAATCAAGGCCTTTGGTAAGCACGGAATGTTGAACGGTGTAAGAAACAGAGGCCCTTACCGGTTCAGGATTTTGCAGAGTGCTGCCGCGCTCTTAGGCGCCAAGCGCTGCAGGCCGGTTCCTTAGATCGGAAGGAGGATCAGGACAGGCGCAGAGCACAGGCTGGACAGCTGCAGGCAGGTCAGGTCGGCGCAGGACAGAAAGGTCAACACAACAGCAGTGACGAGCGATGCCAGACCAAAGGTCAGAGGAGCAATCAAATCACAACTCGTTTGAGGACGGGCGAATTAAATCGATACCCAATCGCTTCCTCCATAGTTAAATATTTTCACAGCCCCGTAATTAATGCATTTCTGCTATAAACCTTGAACAATCTGCCAAGAAGCGCAATAATAATTTAGGACCGGTATAACGCGCAATTACTATCCGCCACAGCGAAAAGCTCCTCTGTAATAACCTAGCCCAGCGTTCAGCCCTATAGGATGAACACAAACACATCACGTTGCCAAGCACTCAAGCACTCCATCGCCTCTGTCTGAAAATAAACGGGAAAGGTCGCCCAAAGTGAGCTCCTAACCAACAAATCTTATGGTCGTTCGTGAATCTCCCGGCCTCGCTATCCACTCACGTATCTCCCTTTCTTGCTTCCCAAACTCACGGATTTCGCGGTCGTTTTCCTCCGAGCCATCGTCCGACTTGACGTCCTCCTTCGACTTCATGAACGGGAACTTTCTGGAGAAGGAGAAGTTCTTCTTTTTCCGGTCCAGAGTCGACTGCGGACAGAAAATGTTCGTGTGTTAGTACTGTTCTTTTACTTTTATCTAAAAGCCGCGTGAGTAGCCCTCCCCTCCTCCAATTAAGGTTAAAAAGCCAGTTGTGCTTTAAAGTGCACGCTTCATGATACTATAATTAAATACATGATAAAAGGATCTCGTGTGCTTGTTTGACTCTCTATTCACCAAAGTAGTCTGATCAGAGCGCAATAGTAGCAACCAAAGTAGTCTGATCAGAGCGCAATAGTAGCACCAGTATCTGGTAGGCGGGAGCTCTACCATAAATTACGTCCCCTTCCCTCCCTTCTTCCCATCCCGGACAGCACAAGGACAGCACCACGCGAGTCCATGGACTTTCCTAAACACGGTCCAAGCAGCACCCAACAAGCGAGGAAGCGACCAACCATCTTGAAGACTGGGCACAAGTGACTGGCAACTCAAATAAGTCTCACTCATTCGCATTTCACAGTAGGGGTCAAACCTATCCAAACCAGTTAGAAAATCGACATCATTTCGCATCTCATCCTTACAGCCGTCAGGGCCGCCAGGGGAAGGTTAGTGTCCCCAGTCCCAGCCCATTTAACACAATCTAATCAGCGTCTGCCATGGCTGCACCCACGGCGGGTCGTATCACGCCCGGTGGGAGGCGGGGGCCGCTCACTACCTATCTTATCGGTCGTCTGACTGCCAGGGGCTGGGGCCGGACAGAGTGGACGGCAGCCGACACCCAGACATACCGAGCTGCACACTGTCTCGGGGTACCATGAATTACGCCACCACCTCTAAATTTCTCAGATCTCCTGCGTCATAAAATAAATAGCAGTGTCGCAGAATGAGATTAAATTCTTTCCTAGACTCGTGCTATGAAGGTCGTGCTATGAAGCCAGGGGGTATAACAGTCATAATATCTTAATTCTGACGAAACCCGATTGTGACGTTGATGACTCTTAATGTGGACCCTCATGCTAATGAACTGAACAATTTTCTTTGGACAGCAACCTACACTAGAGCCGAGGACTAGAAACAAATAATATGGCAGTCCCGTGACGGGACCACGACGGCCTCAATATTCTGTCAAAAGCCAGTATGCCTCACAGCGCAGGCTCAGAACAGTCTCACACCAAGGCAGTGAAACGAGGGGGGGCATAATGAAGTACCTGACCTGGTATGAGACAAGCCCGCCCCGCGGATTCTCCGGCCATCCAATTAGATGCACTGCCAAGTGCCGGGTATGTCGGGTATTTAGTGCACGGCGCACTGGCCAGTCTACCACACCCATCACCGTCCGACGAGCTAAACTGAGGGCCATTTCTGACAGCAGAGCGACTGGCAGTTTGACAAAAATAGACAATGGCCTTAGAGTCGTTGACCTGTAAAATTGTGGTCAGGCCTGGCTAGAGGGATGCGGTAAGAAAAGACTAATTTAACTTCAAGTACAACAAATCGCATTGCTACAAAGCAAACAAAACAAGCAAATACATACGATGACATATCAACGACAATAACAAACAAAAAGTGAAGCCATTCTCTACACAATAACTTTCAAACGTAAGCAGCTGGGACCGCAAGCAAAACGGTACCATAGACAGAACAAAACTTACATGTTCCGGGATAAATTCACGCACTAGGGCAAGAGTTAAGCGACGCCACAGGCCAACTAAGCGAAAAAGCGAGACGAGATCACCGATCCAGGAGACAAGACAAGACAAGACAGGCAAGACGAGAGCTTGGAATGCAGCCGACAGGAGGACGATAAAGCTAAACAGCCTGAGCGAAAGAGCGGAATGCAGGCAGGCAGCTATCTGCAGTACGAGCCAGCGGGAGAGAGAGTGAGAGAGACAGAGAGAGAGCAGAGAGAGTCACCTCCTCGTCATCGGTGCCCTGGAGCAGAAGAGAGAGCGGGTGCACCGAGTGCCGTGTGAGGGAGGGCCGACTGGCAGGGACAGAGGTGAAGATACTGCATAGTGCATACAGTCGGTCAGAAGAGCACCGACAGCTCAGAGCAATGGCATGACTGAGCAGTATGGATAATTTATCTAGTCTACTTGAGATGTGTTTGTGTAAGCCAGGCAACGATTTTTAATGTTCAAATATACCAATTGTATTAACTATTTTCACAACATAAAACAATGATATATCGCCTGAGTTATATAACACAGTGGTGTATCAAACTGCTCGTGTTTTCACCTCCATCTAGTGTCACCAGCCAATGTGAGCATAATAATAAATAACAGCATGTATCAACAGTGGCGACAGTAGAAAGGGGAGAATCATACAACGGCTAAGGTGACGCAAGACCAGCCTGGAGGAGTGAAAGACATACATCTGAGGGTACGTACACTGCCAGATAATAAGAGGCAGAAGTGAGGTAATATAACAAATAGATAGATGATGACAGGTACAATAATCGTACTGGCATGCTGGGGACCGCGTTAATTATATGCCTGTGTTAATTAGATATGAGACAACATCCAGGAATTGTCCACAATAATGTGATCAGAACCCCGCATCATCAAACATTATGAATTACGCATTATGTACAGTACAGACTGATGGGAAACCCCACAGCGGGAAACCCCACTGGCCACAGAGCCACATTGTACGCAATACTCCACAAGGATACCAGACAGTGGGGGCTGTCTCGAAAGTGGAAACACCACTCGATATTCAGAGCGTCGAATATAATCCCGCACCCCTCTTCCTCCAGAGGTGTTAAGGTACAACTCAACGCCACTAATTCTCAACTGCGGATGGCAAACTCACCATATCGGAGGAGGTCTTTCCGTGGAAGACGACTGTCTTCCCGCGCGCCCTCATCTTCTTCTCCCAGCGGTGACGTGAGGGGATGATGCCCATGGCCAGCTCCTGACCCTGCGGGGTCAGACGCTTCGCCTGCCACCACTGGTCGTCGCTAGCGTTCGTCACGTGCAGGATGTCACCGAAGGAGAACGGCAGGCCGCGCGACGGCAGGCCGTCGTCCATGCGCGGGTCGTAGTCGAACAGAGCCCTGGGCGGGGGAGGGAGCGGTCAGGTCACGTGGCAGCCACAGCACTCTGAGCTGGGAGCAGCCAGAGATCACGTGGTAACAGAGGCGGCGGATCAGCGCAGCCGTCAGAGGTCATTTTAGCAGAATTATTATGTCCAGTAACACATATCTACCCTGATTACATAAGAGAGCGACCACTGAATGCTATAATCAGCCTGTTGCACTGATGCTTCAGAGCTACAGGCCACCCTGAGTTCCCCGATGTTGTAACTATATCTTTACACGCAGCACATGTCAGTCCCACTGGCAACCCCATTACGCTTCCCCTTCCCCGCTCCACAGTGGGTGTTTCCCCGCCAATCTAGCCCAGACCGGCGCGGCGGCGCCAAAGGTCAACACCAATCCATTACCGTCCCACCTACACGACTCCGACCTTCAGCGGCGACCCACTGAACCTGGTCGCCCACCGAGCCATCAGGACCACGGACCACCCCTGGTCAAGTACCGTACCGACTGTGTTCGTTAGTACAGACATAGCCAGGCCGCCCACAGTTACATAATGAGATGCACCCGTAAGGTAGCCCGTCAAACGCAGCCAACCAGCGTGGGTGACGGCAGTGAGAAGCATCACATTACATAGGTGACACCACAGTCCCAACCACAAATGACGTAAAGGTCTCAACCGCACATGCCCTTCCTAGCCACAGACGTAATAGGTCATAACCGAAGAATGGCGGGGCAATATCGCGTTCCGAATTCCGATCCCAGAACATCAACGGCGATGGGACAGGCAACGACAATAAGAACTCAGGGTATATTGAGTGAAATAAGAACTTATCGGTCAGTACCAGCACCTGACTTGGTTGAAGACGTATGCTTGTTGCACGTCGTTGCGTTGGGACCTCCTCGACACTAAACTAAATGCGGGAATCTGAGTATTCTGAGTGCCGCGGCACTCGGCACTCGGCACTCACCTGACGTAGAGTGACCGTTTCTGGGTGGTGCGCAGAGTGCCGGGCATCATCTGCTGTCTCAGCTCGTGGATCTTGGCCTCGAACCTGTTGTACTCCTCTGGCCGGTACTGAACCACCATAGACACGGTCTGGCCGGCACCCTGTGAGCGGGAGGGGAGCATCAGTAACACTGTAGGTAGACACGGTCGAGCCGGTACCCTGTGAGCGGGAGGGGAAGGGTGCTAGAGCTGCTATAGACACGGTCTACCCGGCACCCTGTCAGCGGGAGGGGAGCGTCAGTAACATTGTCGGTAGATACCGCCTGCCAGGTCCCTGGGTAACGAAAAGGGAGCGTCAGTAACAACATAGGTATACACAGACTGGCTGGCTTTCTGTGCAACAGGGATGGAGGCATTAATTCGTCGTCATTAGTGGAAAGACTCTGAGAAGCGCACCAGGAAACATTCAGAACCAGAAAGTCGTCAAGGAAGAGAGCTCCAATAAAACGATTAGACTGGGAGCTACAAAGTTTAGTGCTAAACTTTGCTTAAGTTGCACCCCAAATGCAAACAACAAGTGAAAAGTCAAGAAATAATGAAAGAAGGTAATTTTCGCTTCCAAAACATGAACTAACATGATAAAAGCTACAGCTCACCGTTTCAACCAAACTACGGTGAATTCGCACGCCCAAACATTGTACACAGTTGTCAAAATTGCCTACCTAACTTCCCGGACCAGCCAAACTCGAGGCAAGGCACAGTAAAACTTCCACCCTCTCAATGAATTGCAATCACAACTCCCATCAATATCATCCTTGCCACACCGACCTCACGTTCAGTACCATCTGGAACTGTTGAAGCGCCATTCCACCCCCGAGACACATTTCCGTCCAGATCCGGTCCGACACAGCGCAGTTTCACACCTCGCTGCTACAAAAGTTACCGATGAACCCGAGTTCTGCGCAGCTAGAGGCTATAATAACACCACACTGATGGCCGTCGAGGGCCTAGACTCAGGTGGGTGGGTGAATAGGTCTCGTGCGTATCGAAACATTCCGCGCTCGCCCACGTTTCCGAGTCAGACGAGCGCCGGAATGTTCATTTCGATGTGTCGAGAGCGTGGATGGGGCGGTGTGAGTCACGGGACCGTTTTAGCAAAACATTTATAGGCGCACGTTTCGACAGAAGAGTCGGCGCGCAGAAGTGGATATTTGCCGTCAATGAATGACCGAGTATGAATGCAATGACGATCAATCTTTGCAGAACTCGACAGTGAAACTATTAATAACGTTTGTGAAATCTATCACAAACAACCCACAATCTATTTCGTTGAAATTCCAATGGATGTGCTGTTTAAATCGTCCTATTTATCTAGAATGAGGCTTTTTCCAGCCGATACATCCGAAAAGAAGCATACATCAATGTCTGGAACAAATCAGAATTGAAATAGCCAAATCGCTTATTTATGTGGCGATTGTCAGTTTTTCAGCTTGAAAATTAAACCCTTTCTCTCCATCTCTCTCCTTGAGTCTCCTGACCTCCCAATTCCGAGAGGGTTTCAGACCCTATGCACCGCTTTCTTACCCACTCGTACTGCGTACATGATGAATTTTCCTCCCTTTCAATTCTACAGCGAGATCAACACTGAACAGTCATTTCCTACCTGCCCCACCCATTCCCAGGACGATCACTATCCCCTATGTTCGTTCCCGCTTCTTACCTTGAGGGCGGCGGCGGCCTGCTCGTGCGTGGCCTTGCTGAGGTCGGTGCCATTCACCGACAGTATCTGGTCGCCGCGGTGCAGCTCCCCACTGCGGTCCGCCTGCCCGCCGGCCAGGATAAACGACACGAAGATGCCCTCGGACTCCTCTCCTCCGACGATGTTGAAGCCCAGGCCCTGGCCAGAGGCCTTGCTTAGCACCACCTGACGTGGCTCCCTGAGAACGGAGAGACGGTGGCAGGGTCAGAACACGGCACGGGAAAAACTCAGAAAACAGGTGGGGTGGGAAGGGGTAAAATAGCATGGTGGGGATGGGGAACATGTGGTGTGGTAGACGCGTGGGGTAGGGGCACAGAGCATGGCAGAGCGGGAGGGGAGAGGAGACAGGGAGATATGAGTGTGGTGGGAAAGGGGCTTCATATCATAACATGGCGGGGATGGGGGAACACATTGAGACAGGTGTGGTAGTAGACGGTGGGATAGGGAAACAGGTCAAGCATGACATGGAGAGAGGGGAGAGGACTCAAGAGAAATACGGGTGTGGTGGGAAATAGGCCAAATGATACGGCAAGACGGTCACTAGGGGACACAAAAATGAGTGGCGTGGTGGGGAAGAGGTCTATTGGTACGTGGCGAAGCTAGGGAAATGCATATATTTATCAGAGGGTCTCAGAAAGATGCCACATAGTCCAGGAAAAAGGCTATAAAAAAAAACAGCTCGCTATGCCTATTAGCCTATTAGGTGAAAAAAATGCGTTCATTGCCCGTCGTAAATAACATCGATCTTGCTGACATATAATTCCTATGAAGAAAAAATATCAACATAGACCAGTCGCAATCACTTGCTATTCTGATTATGACTATTCTTAGACTGCCAATGCGCTGTAGCCGCGCCTAGGGATCTGGCAAAGGCTCTTGATAGGACCAATAATAGTGGCAATACGCAGAGAACCTGGATATAATACAGCCCACGAGAATACTTTGCTGTCTGCGGCGCAATATCTGACATCGGAGACCAGGCTTCTCTCCTTCCTGCAATGTGCGACATGCTTTGGAGAGTACTGGGAAACACAGCCTCTGGGACGTCCGAGGTCGGTGGCTACTGGCTAGGACCCACTCTCTCCGCCAAGCCGGGCCGATCTTTGGTCACGGACGTGGTGCACAATGCAGTAATGCACACTTGCACAGTGGACCGTGCAAGGAGCCGGTGCACCGCACAGTGCACATGCCAGCCGGAACGGAGCTGGGGAGTCACACCACTTCCCGTCCTGAGCGGCCAGACGGTCCCCGGATCACCCCACGTCATCCAATAGTAAGAGTCCCCACTGTTCAGCACATATCACAACATCCACATTCTCACACAACATCCAGCCATTACCACACCAGTGAGGTAAGGGTGGTTACTCTCCCAATTATGATGAGGTAATGGTTGGAATGGTGAGTCACCATTCTCACCACATAAAACCATTAAAACCCATCTCGCCAGCCCAGACACCGACACCAATTTCCAATATTCCGGTCAGATTCTGGGCTCCCGGGTCCCGTTCAGACACCTAACCGTAGCAGGCAGGCCGCCGAGCGGTGTGCCCATATGAGGCAGTGACTGACCGGCGGGCGGCGCGGCTAGAGCCCTACAAGGAGCCGGGACTGAGCCGGGGTCGACTGATGGCCCCGCAGTCAGGTAGACGGAGGCGTGTGTCGACAACGAGCGCCGTCACAGTGCGTCGTTCTCGACATGACAAGGGAGATGACCTTCTGTCACCTCCCTTGTCACGGCGCTGAGTCCAGTCCGCGTAGCGCTAAATCCAGTCTACAGTCACCGGTCTCATCCACCTTAGCTCGCATCATATCAAGGCACCATACAGGCTATATGAGGCCGATGATGCAATGAAATGATGGCTGTTGCTTGACGCGGCAGGCGTCACACAGGCGCCAATGATTCTGTATCTATCAGAGACGTCACTTCCCGTCGCACTCAATGAGTCAAACTTCCGTCACATCCGCTTCGCCGATCTTTCAGCCTGAAGCCTCCATCCTCACTCCAAACTTTTAAGTAGAATGCGTATTAACTATTCCTTGCATTGGGGACCTCGGTTGTAGACTGGAGCGGGCGGTAGTGATCCATTGAAGAGGCAATGAATGAGCGTTGCATTCAGCGCCCCCTTGGGGCCAAGAGGGAGGAAAGAGAGACAGAAAGGAGACAGAAACGAGTACTAGAGTGGGTGGAGGACGGGTCGTAGAACGGCAAGGGTGGGAAGAGGGGTAGAGTGAAGTGGTCAGAAGATGCAGAGCGGCGGAGCGAGTGCTAGCAGCGGTTAGTAGACAGGCATGATATGGGTGGAGTAATGCGTGTTTAGATTAGCCGAGGGACGGATGGTTCAGGTACGTGGTAGGGACAGAAAGAGAGGCAGGAAAGAGAAGGTTGGCGGATCGATAGAGGAGGCGGAAAATCAGTACCTCGGAAGAACATAACTTTACAAATTATCTTGAAGAATGCCCGAACTTCGCGTCAAAGTCAAGAAACTTCAAACTGGTGCACAAAGTTGTCATGGGAAACAACAAGCGTCCTGTTCCTAAACTGCGCAGAAGTCATGCCAACAGAATGTAAATTTTGTTTGGGGAGCATCTGACCCGGATGGCGGAAGTAACTGACCCACAGCGCTACATCCTTGATCCTCGTGCCACGCAAGGGTACCGCTGCAGGCATGACAAGTTGTGCAGCACAGCCAGCGGCACTGAGTGGTCAACTAGCAGAGAACGCAGGCCGTGGGGCCGGGGCGGGGGCGGGCCTCCCGCTGCAGGGCGGCACTGGGTCAGCCGCCGGAGACCCAGAGGGCGGGGGCGGGGGCGGGGGCGGGGGCGGGGGCGGGGGCGGGGGCAGCACTGGTGAGTCGTGGGCGTCACGCGAGCTCCTCCCACCGCCCCGGCCAAGGGCGGGCCCGCACGGCACGCGACCGCTACACACAACAGTGAGACAGCGCCCTGCGGGATGTGAGAGACTGAGCGAGGGTCGAACAACACATGGGCGTGTCACAGAAAACACACACGCTGCGCTGGCGGTGACACCATGGACAGCTTTCCTCAGAACTCAGGGTTAGGAGGTCCATTTCCACCCAACATGGCGCTGTCAACACTCAACATAGCCAGTCACTGTCGCCATCTCGTTTTAATATATCCAATTTTGTGCATTATTTGAACATTAATATGAGCAAAGGCTACTACGTCTCGTATTACATAGTATATATAACGATGCTCATCACAGCCATCCATTTCATTTGCTCAGAAGACCCGTCTGTTGGAAATGCCTGCGAGATGACGGCCAGCCAGTTTCCTTCATCTTCAGCCCAGGAGCTCAGAGACAGACCGGCCCAGCAACACCCGTTCGACTCCTCTGACCTCCCACGTGCCTGGCGACCCTTCGGCGACCAGGCAGAGGTCAGGGGGTCAGGAAGATGCCACTAGTTTGTCCCCCAGAGACGGGACTATTTCTGACCGGCCCGGGCCGCACCCGGTCGCGAAGGGTGAGAAATGATTCAGTTTTGCTTGTGTTTAGTCTGGAGAAATCCATGAGCTACCGTAGCTTTTCACTGTTATTGAAAAGAAACAGAACAGAAACAGCTAGGCGCGGTAGTCAGCAGTCATCACGATGGCATGTACTTTTTTACGGAGAAAGGACAAAACCCACCGAGACACACCACTGGCCAAAGACATCTGTTAACACTATGACCCAGCCTTCGCCGTCAGTGTCACTAACCACCTCAACCCACCCATCCGTCAACACAGTGACCCCGTACCGCCACTGACTGCACGGTTCGGGTGCTCACTCTCCTTACACGCTCTCACGAGCCTGTCCTTGCCAACAGAAAGAGCAGCGACAGACGGTGTGGAACGCTCTGTCCAGTCAGCGGTAAAGTCGAGCGGACGGTGAACCCGCTCACTACGCAACACTTCACGGCGAAATACTTTACTGGGACACCGCGGCTTGTTCCGTGACGGTCACAGACAAGGCCATTGACCACCACACGGGGTTGAGTCGTGTGTCGGTGGTCAGTGCCGTGCGTAGTTAGTGGTTACATTGAGAAATGACAGAGTGAGGTCAGTTTGAACCCAGTTTGGTGGATGTAATTGGGGTAGCTTTGAGCCATTGCTTAGTGAGGCTTCTTAGAATCGCTATGATGGAGTTTCTTTTGTCCATGGCTGGCATAGTGTCTCCAAGCCAAGTGTAGGGTGAGATCAATTCAAACACCGTTTGGCAAGGTCACGCCAGCCGTGTTTGGTAACGTCAGAGTAACATCGCGTCTGCAGTGATGTCTCTGTCCCGTGACGACCCGGTGCGACCGTCACGTCACTGTGTCTCACGCCGCCGTCCCGCCGCGTCCCACGGCGTCCCACGGCGTCCCACACGCGCCGTCATTGTCCCGCCATTGTCCACAGCGCGCCGGCTGTGTAAAATGGAGCAGCTGCTGTCGTCCGGAGCGCTCTCGCCACGTGAACGCCTGATTTACTTTTGAGCCCGCCCCGGAGGCAGTGGCTCGCGGCGGCGGGTGGTCAGACACCGATTTGGTACGGAAGAGATGGCACAGAACTGAACACATGAATGGCACAGACACGGCCGAAGTAACAGCGCTGGGAGAGAACAGACAGTGACAGAGTGTGCAGGGGCACAGGTCACACGACCTCAGCACGCCGGTGACATTTGAAAGCAGCTCCGGTGCTCCCTGCATCCCGTCGGCGAAAGTCACCGAAAGAGGCCGTGTGCCACTAGCCATGCGGCAAAGGACACGTTAGAGTCCCAGGACCGCACCGTCGACAGACAGGGACACTGCGACCGACGCATGAATTCCTGCCCAGACACTCGGAAACACCTCTCATCCATATCCCAAACACCTCCCGCCCGAGGTCACTGACAAGGCCGAGCGCCTACGCTTCGACAGTCTATCTTTAGAGCACCGCGAAAATCATTCAGTAGCGTGCATCAAGTATGGAATGCCATTAAACGAACCATCGATTACATACCATTTCAGCAGTGTTTAATTCATCAAAAGACGGCCAGCGACCCCAGGTTCAAGGACCCGTCACAGACGCATGCTTTCGCAGTCGTTTTTTCACCATCATTCACACGTCCGACCCTGCCCCCATATCATGGAAACTAGTTTTTGTCCGTCTGCCTCTCGCCTCTCTGACGCGGTGAATGAGCGCTCAACGACACCGCGATCA